ATAGATAGATAGATAGATAGATAGATAGATAGATAGATAGATAGATAGATAGATAGATAGATAGATAGATAGATAGATAGATAGATAGATAGATAGATAGATAGATAGATAGATAGATAGATAGATACTATGTAGCAATATAGTGCCGGCATCTATTGTATGTATACTAGCAGAGGTGCCGCCTATGTCGGTATGTACTCTCACAGAGCGTAAAGTTGACGACATAAGAACCTTTGATAGCAGTCTCGGGAAATTTGACATCCAAGACTATATCCCTTTTGTAGACATATGTCTGATTGGGCCTTCAGTGGCAATGTAGCACTAAATATTACTACTAGTACTTAGCTAACTACGACTTCGTTATGTGGGGAGTTTACTTTTGAAAACACAGACCAATCTTACGTACGCGCAAGCCAAAGTCTGATATCGAAAGACTTCGCTCCACTTTCAGTGCGTACGTAGTATATGAATGGCCCATTTCCATAAATTTCGTGCACTACTAATAACAATGGCATAAGTTTAACCGGGTTAGGGTTAGATTTAACCTAATATTGTGATGCTAGAAAAAAGAAAGAAAAAAATATATATTTAAGAAACTAAGCGCTGTGAAATTGGGCTTTTCGAAAAACAGCAAAAAGCAAAAGGCCATTGGACTTCCGGTTAGCCTTTCAATCAGCACACACATATAATCATGGAACAAAGAAATTGAAACTGAATGTTCGTATTCAAACTAAACTTCGGTAAATTAAATTAAACAAGTCCTAAAAACTAAGTTTTTCATATCAATCCTTTAGTTTCATTTTTATCATTTTTTATCTTAATGTTTTCATGTCCCACACGCTTTTACGCCACATATTTATTGCGCCAACTTTTTCAGAGAAACAAAAGAAAACATTTCACACAAATTGCGTTTGTGATTTTTTTTTATTTTTGAAGAATCTCATTCAGCGCAGTGATCGGGAGATTTTTATTTCGTAAAATTAGTGTCATAATACTTCCTTCAATGTTCCCTTGAAAAAACGAAAAAAACAGATTTTTAGGGCTTGAAAATGTTAAAAAAATGTGTTGCCGTCATCAGCAAGTGTATGTGGCAAGTTTCAGCTCAATATGTTGACGGGAAGTAGGTCAAAAAGCCGTTAAAATACTTTGCCAGCCACGAGCAAGAGTAAAGTTGATATAAAGAATATAAAAATTTATAAGCGAGGTCAACACATTCCACACAGGTTCTAAAAATATAAAACAAAAAACTCTTTTGTGACAAAGACGTCGCATTAATTATTGTTTCATTCTAAAGGACAATACAGTTTGACCAAAACGGAACTATCTGTCATGAGGGATTTTTTTAGTCCATCATTTGGAAGTTGGTTTAATTTCACCAACGTAGATGGGATAAACAGTGGACGTTGATGTAACATCACTTCACTATGCTGTGCTGCCTATTTCGACGGGAACTTATTTTGATCTCTTGTTTGTCCATTCTCTTTCATCTCAATGTCCACACGCGGTACTAGCATCGGCCCTTTTAAGAGCTGCCAGCGATGGTAAGATTTTCTACACATGAAAGTCTAAACAATAAATAACAATTAAGTTTCTTTTGTCGCGACCAAAATTTTAATATACTTTTTCGGGAACGGATTTCGAAATAAATGAATTTGACTTTATACAAACGTCTCGAGGAATTAAGAAGTAAAAGGTACATAAAGACACAATGGAATAAAACTTCACTTTTCTCCCATGACTTTCTGTAATCAGTGTTCAAGTTTTGGCAACATGTATCACATCGTTTGCATGTTTTTAAAAAAATCTGATTTTTATAAATGATAATAAGCTAAAACATCTTATTCAACGTTATGGAATATATTTAACGCCGTACATGACCTGAAACTTGCCTTTTATCTTTCCCTACGACGTCTGCACTGAAGAAAATCTGCTTAAATGTCTTCCTAAAGTTGCTTCCCATTGTGAGAAACACGAAGAAATGACTAGCGGCATTGACGTAGTCCAGAAAGACAACCATGTACACGATGGCCCAGTAGATGTTGTGGTAGTACCTCAGGAAGTAGTACTCACTCACCAGCAGCATGGCCATGAAATGGGCAAAACGTGGAGCCAGGCAGAAGATGTAGATCAAGATGACAAAAAATAACATCTTTACCACCTGTTTGTCTCTAGTCGTCATTTCCGGTTGACTTTTGCCATTGCCAAGTGCTTTAATGATAGAAGCGCTCTTGTTTCTGAATCTCGACGCCTTGTAGAGGCTACATGCAATGATGGATGTTGATATCACCATGGAAACGAAGCTCAAGAAAGGATACAGAAAATTGCATGTTTTATAACTCCTCAAGTAATCGCCGCCGTGTTGGTAGTAGAATGGCGAGTACTGGTATATGGCGATGGTCGCGTTGTACTCTTCGCTGAAGATCCACACAAACTCAAAAATCATCATCATTGGCCCCAGAGTCACAAAGACTGTTACTGAAATCCCCAAGAGAATAATAACCGTGACCTTTGGAGTCAGAATTGTCTTGACCTTGAAAGGTATGCTAACGCAAAGGCATCTTTCGATGGCGACATATCCGGCCATGACGTAAGCGACGTTGCTAGATATGAACTGAAGGAAGACTAGGTTCGGAAAAGTAATGCTTTCCCAAGATTTGCCTAATGCAGAGCTGACCAACCCCATTGGACCATAACACTTGATGACCATTGCACAGGTCAGTTTCAGTAGGTCCCAGAGAGCTAAACCTGTCATGGTGATACTGATGGTGTCCTTGTACCCGAGCTTGTAGAAGACGACAATGTCAATCACCGTGTTGACCAGCGCCACGATGGCGATAATGTAGCTGATCCACGTGTCCACTACTGTGGTAAGTACAGTGAGGTCATGGGTGGAGATAAGGAACTCGACGGCTCGAAATAGTTTTGGCGGGGTCAATTCAAATTCAGTTATAGTCTTGGCTGATGTCTTTGTAACGTTGACCAGATGTAGGAGTTGAGTCTCGTTCATGTTTGATAGGTCGTGCCAAACGAGATTTGAGCTTCAGGTGAGATGTGTTGATCAGCGAAATGTTGTCATAGGTAAGAATGAACATCAACAAAACTTGATCTCTCGTATGACGGGATTTCGGCGAGATTTGATCCTTTGTTCAGATGAGTTGTTATACATTTTTGTTTAATATGACGAATTGCAGAAATTTGGTAAAGATGGCGGATAAGTAACCAACTTAAATAGCTGTTGCTGTGGTAAATTATAAGGATATTTCAAAACCTTTATTTTCAATGTAAGCAGAAAAACCTAATTTACTTGTATCACCTATTGATAACTTATTCTGTAACTCTATCTTCATGTGTAAGTAAACCAGCGACATATCCATCAGAGCAGTCAGATGTATTTTGTCTCACGTGACTTCTGTACAATTCTTGATGCTTTGAAGATATGACACTACACAGTGAGACTAAGAAAATGACCTCACATATAAACATGCAAGAAATAAACGAGCACAATCCATGTTTACTCGTATCAGCATGGTGTTTTGTCCAACATCCCCACCGTGCATTAGTTTGTTAAGGTGTTAACCCTTGCCGAACTTATGCATTTTGTCTTTTAAAGAGAATGTTTATTTTTTTCTTATTTTAAACACTCGTATTGAGGTGAAATGCGTTCGAATGAAAGAGGCCAACGTTTTAAATGGATAGATAAAAGCAGAGTTATTCTTGGCACTAAGCTGATGGGTCTATGAGGACGTCAAGTAAACACCTCGTCATGACATGATTGAGATCAAAACGGTGTAATTGTCTATGTTTATTAGGAATTAATTGATTTCTTGTAACAAATCCAAGCAGAAATGAATGTCAAACAAAGCGAGAACTCAAATGTCAACAATGACATTCGAAATTCTGTTGGTCGTTCGGCTACAATAATATCTTAGGCTTTAATTTCATGGAAATTCTATTGGCAGATAGATTGTAGGTAAACACTGAGTAAATGGTATCGATCAATGGAGAGGCAGAAAACAAGCATCTGCAATTACACGTAGTACTCTTAAACCGTTTCTTTATTTAACAAGCAAACGGGTTTTCTTTACAAAATTCCGTTTTATTAAAAATATAAAAAATTCCAATAATGTAATATAAAAAATGTATTCATAAATATTTATTATTTTAAAAAATTTCTGAAGAAAAAAAGTCATTTTCAAATCGAATATAAATTTTACTTGGGGTTAGAAGACAGTGCCCCTACCCGACCCCTTACCAAGGTACCCGGGTGCGAATGGCGGCGCTGCGCGTCTGAGTCCATTTTGACTCAGTGCTATTCGGATCTCATTTGTGGTAGTTTAGTTTAGTTAAACTGAAGAAGTAAGTTTACAAACATATAGTCCATTCAATTATCTTCAATTGATACCTCATTTTGTCTTACAAACTCAACAATAAAATTTAAATAGTTTTTTAAATCCCAACCTCTTAGTTCTGGTACCCGTGTACGAATAGCCCCTTCGTATATGTTAAGGGATTAACTAAAATAAAACAATATAAGTTTATTATTTTTTTTTTTTAATATATTTTTCAAAAAGTTACTCTAAAGTTTAAAAAAATTGCACCCCCCTCCTCACTGTTTCTCCCAAAAATAAAGAAACAAAAACAAATTTAGAGCCATATTATCCTAAAAATGTTGAAGTGTACCCATGAAATCAACGTCAGTGTTGACCTGTCTGTGATAAAAATTGTGTTGCCATTGTTGATTGTTATCGGAAACGATAAACTAAACAAAAGGAAACACTAGGAACAATGTGACGACCCTCCTTTGCCGTTTCTTAAATGTCTACAGCGGTCACTCAAGGGTCAGTGACCAACTGATCATGATGGGTCGTACTCTCATAAAGTTTTTCGTTAAATCATTGATGAAATGTATATCCATCCAACTCCATTTTTCACACCCCTTAAGTATACTAATATTCCAAAGACCCACCAATCTTTATGACGCACATTTATTTTACCAATTATTTCAGCAAAACAAAAGAAAATAGTACGCACCAAACGAACTTGCCCTATTTTCTTTTAAAATAATCTCCTTGAGCGCAGTTATCGGGAATTTTATTTCATGTAATCCTCATCCTCATGTCCCTTAGTCCTTGGACCGTTGGGGCGCCACAGATGACATGTGAACCATCCTCCTCCATTCCTCTCTGTCTTCAGCACTACCCACTGCATCGCCCAGTTGTAGTAGTGTAATCACTGTCGTCATATTTCATATAAATTTGAAAGAATGTGCTGTCATCGACAACGAGTCTTCGTGCTAAGTTTCATCTCGAGAGTTTGGCGGGAAGTGGGTAAATTAGCCGTTTGAATATTTGGCTAGTCCACCACCCAGCCAGCCACGAACAAAAGCCAAGTTAATATAAAGGATTTAAACACATATTTGTGTTTAAAGCATAAGGGCTACATAAATGCTGTACTTTTCTTAATTGATTTAAAGTACTCGTTCATAAGAATCCCCAAATACAGTTATACGGTGTTGTCTTCTGCTCCAAAGGCCTTCAATCATAGATTTGAATTCCAGAGTCATAGCATATTAGGAATTCCAAATTCAGAGATGACTCGATTTGTACGAATTCTCCATCAAACTTCAGAGTCGGTGGCGAATATTTGTCCTCTTCTACTTGTTCAGCAGGCTTGTTTGCTGAGTGACCATGCCTCATATGCAGACATCAGTTGTCTTATCCAAAACGCCAGGTCTACAGTCATGGCTCACATACGTAGCGTGCGGACAGATCTGCCTCTGTCCAAAAAGTGCAGGTAAATCTAAATGTCTAAAACTGACCAGCAAGTGGCCCGAGGAAACTTCACGTTGCAGACATGTGTCAGCGGTGTGAACATTTGCGTCCATGCCACGCCAGCGCAATTGGTCACGCGTGACTTTCAAGGTTACGTCCAACATTTCACGCGCTTGTAAGGTCAGTGCTGTTCACCCTTGTACATCAACAAACATTACATTTTAAAAAATTAAATGTAATAATAATTCATAATCAGCATTTCAGCGAAAATTCGAAGCATTGCTTAAATGCAGATTCTTAATTTAAGAGCTTAGGAACTATCTTTAATCAGAAGACATAGTTAACAGAAGACATCATAGTTATAAGAAGACAGGATAGTTAACAGATGACAGCATAGTTAATTTAAGACAGTATAGTCAGCTGAATAGCGTTATTGGGCACCAGCTTGCAGCGATCTCCAATTACACCGTTCTTAGTTCAATGACATTAAGACGAAACTGAATCATCTGTACATTACTAATTCAACGTGGAGACAGCATGTTTGACATTTATTAATTAACGCGTAAAATGACTTAACGGAACAGGATTTTCTGACTAATGACCCGCAGTAAGTCAGCCAGCGGGAGGACCAGTTAACCACAAAGACCAAAAAGATTATTCATTATTACGACAAGACAGCATGAGTAACAAAAGTCAGCATTGCTAACAGAAGGCAGCATAGATAAAATAAGACAGCGTAGTTAACAGAAGACAGCATAGTTTAAAAAGATATCGTAGTTAAAATAAGACAGCATAGTTAACAGAAGACAGAATAAATAACAGAAGACAGCATAGTTAACGGTAGACAGCATAGTTAAAATAAGAAACCATAGTTAAAATAAGACATCATAATTAACAGAAGACAGCATAGTTGACAGAAGACAGAACAGTTAACAGAAGACATCATAGTTAATAGAAGACAGCAAAGTTAAAATAAGACACCATAGTTAAAATAAGACAAGCATAGTTAACCGAAGACAACATAGTTAAAAAAGACACCATTGTTAAAATAAGACAGCATCGTTAACAGAAGACAGAATAAATAACAGAAGACAACATAGTTAACAGAAGACAACATAGTTAACAGAAGACAGCATAGTAAAATAAGACAACAAAGGTAAAATAAGACACTATAGTTAAACTAAGACAGCATAGTTAAAATAAGACAGCATAGTTAACAGAAGATAGCATAGTTAACAGAAAACAGCATAGCTAACCGAAGACAGCATAGTAAAATAAGACGCCAAAGTTAAAATAAGACACCATAGTTAAAATAAGACAGCATAGTTAAAATAAGACAGCATAGTTAACAGAAGACAGCATAGTTAACAGAAGACAGCATAGTTAATAGAAGACAACATAGTTAACAGAAGCCAGCATAGTTAACCGAAGACAGCATAGTAAATTAAGACACCAAAGTTAAAATAAGACACTATAGTTAAAATAAGACAGCATAGTTAAAATAAGACAGCATAGTTAACAAAAGACAGCATAGTTAACAGAAGACAGCATAGTTAACAGAAGACAGCATAGTTAACAGAAGACAGCATAGTTAAAAGAAGACAGCATAGTTAACCTTGAATAGAACTACTCATTGGTGTCCATGAACTTTACTATCTATCGACACAATTTTGGAAGACCGCCTTTGATGGATGGCGGAACAATTAATTCTCAAACAATTTAAATGTTGAACATGTTGCTCTAAATATCAGAGTAATCCTACTTTAAATAAAAGTAGCTATATGTCTTGCCAAAAATGTCACATCTACATCTTGCCTAAAATGGCACATCAATTTTTTGCCTAAAAAGTCAA